CATCGGTTACGATCATCCCGAGGTCTCCAATCAGGGAGCCTAACGGGACTTATGTGATCCAGACTCCTGGTTAGGGTTTTCACATCCTCGTGCCACGTCTTAGCTTGACCACCCTTGGCTTTATTCCACCCACTAGCTGCCTCGGCAAACATCGCTCGCCCTGGCAACTTATCTGGTGACATGCGTAGCACATGTCCCAATCAACGTAATCTATGGAGGTCGACCACTTGCTCCAATGGGTGACCGTGGATATCCAAAACTCTGCGTCTAACCTCAGCATTGTTCGTCCGGCTGTTCCACCAGATTTGTGCAAGGCTGCGTAGACGGCGGTGTTCAAACACCGACAGTCTATCTTTATCCTGTTTTCTTAATGGCCAAGTTTCTGCGTCATATAGCAGAAATGGCCGAACTGCCACAGCATACAATCGACCCTTCACGGAAAGCCGGATGTTGCGACGGCGCCACAACCGTCGCAATTTGGCGAATGCCAACCGAGTCTTCTGTATGCGAGCCGATACTTCATATGATGCAGCAGCTGATGATAAAAGAGCATACATACATAGAATTGGAGAATTCGTACTTACTTATATGCAAAAATATCTCAAATATTCCTGTTCTTAGGAAACTCGTAACCTTGGTTATACTAAGCACAACTGTGGTTCCATCGTTATCGAATGGATGATTAGGGATAATCGGCGAGTTTGCGAATTTCCACACATAGGAGTGAAACACGTTTCGAAAAAAGATAATTATTTTTAAATAAGTTGTAATTTTGAAAACAGCGATGTCGGTAAAGGTGAAAATAAGCCGACGTTCCGGTTACCGTGGATAAGCTTTATCAAGGCGATTTTACTGAATGCAGAATATTTCAAAAGGGGCTGCAGCCAATCAAAGGTTGTCTGGCATACACTGAATTGCAAAGAAACGGACCGAGGTGGTGGGATCGGAAAACATCACCGAAAGGGGTCGTGTGATGGTGAGCTGAAGTGCCCCTTCACCGCTGAACCAAGTTAGTGAATCAGGGATCCGGATCTAAACACAAGTGGCTCTTTGGCGCGGAGATGTTCAGAGCATCAGAGAATCCCACCAAGTGAGGAAAATCATCCTGGGTCGGGGGAGAAAGTGAGCTTGATCAGATCGAGGTTTTGGCAAACAGAAATAAAACATCGGGTTCATTAGGATGCTTAAAAATACGTCTTTTGTATTGTTATTAAGTTACCTCACGCTCAAATATACCATCTGATTCTTGCAGCAACGATCAACAAGCCACACTTGTTCAAGAATAAACGCGTTTAACACAAAAACGAAAAACCAATTGAGAGGAAATTAACCTACCCCGTCTTGCAGAGTTAACAGTCGACGGCGTTTTGTCTTTAATCGTTCAGTTCGACGAGCGCTATTCAGACCACGCTTTTGATTTAGATCTATCGCTTTGCGTACAGTTGATCCGGAACGATTCCACAACCCGGAATCACATAGCAATTGGGCGAACTGACTACGAAGTCTGACCATATCGTGCAGTCGATGTTCCTGTGCCCCGATACGGCGACACCAGCGTCGTGCGTTAACGGATTCTTGATTTGACGATCTATAATCAGCTGATTCTGTCGCTTCGGATTTGATCTGTCACCAAAATGAATGAAACCGATGATAATAACCAACTGGACACAAGGCGTAATTTTTTCTAATAGTATTGACGGAGTTAGAAATACAACTGGAGTAATAAAAAATGACTTGCGCATATACACAAAATTCTATGACAGAAAACTGACATCTGAGTATCGAATTCATGGATTTGGACAATTTGCGAATGGTTCATGCGTACAAGAGCACTTGTATTCCACGTTGATGAATATCGGAATCTTAAATACTCGTCAGTAAATAAGATGTGTAGACAACACATTTGTAGTGCTAGGAACTTTCATGGTATGTCAGGTTCACCAAAACCTTGACCAATTGGTAACTGGTCTCATCTTCACATCGATATCCTCGATATCAGCATTAGGCAATGAGATGGGAGAATAGATACCACTGTATCGTAAACTGGCCACGACATATCGCACCTTAAGCTATAACAGCATTAGGCTTTTGTACCATTTTAAAAGTTGTGTCCAAACTCTAATTCCCCGATCGAACATATATATATATATATATATATATATATATATATATACAAAGTTTTATTATGGGAATAGCTTACAAGCTGGTGCCTTTCGTGTCCCATAGGATGTTTACATAGATGAATCGTTACACATCAAAAAAGGAGTCACATAGGGAT